AAACTTTTTAACGAGCTTGGTTATTGACGCTCCTTCGCTCTCCTCTGGAATTCCTTAGATCCTCTGGTTCTGTCTCCTCGACCTGCCCTCCAGATCTGTTATTTTGGCCTGTAACTCCTTCTGTTTCTGGAGCAGGTCCAAAAGCACGCCATCTGTTTTTTCACCCCACGCCTCAGTTTGCTAAATGCGTTCCTCCATTTCTTTATCCTTTTATTCATTCTGTTCATTTCTTCAGTAAAGTCCATTAACTTTTTGTTAATATCACTTTTGAAATCTTTCAGTTCGGTAAAGATTTTTTGGGGGCTCACAGGTGATTCGCGATCTTCAGATTCTTCAGACTGGCTCTTTGCCATTGACAGTGCCTGGTATGGAGCAACAGAATTGATTCATAATGATCATTGTAGACTACAACTGGTCACCCCATAGTAAACTTTCATTGTATTATTCATCAATAAAAACTTTGTGCCAAGTTTACAATTATGAGCTTAATAATGTGATGACTACAGAGGAGAAAATAGTGACATTCCTTGTTGCTCAGTCTGACACACAGGCCGTTTCAAACTCTGCTACAGGAACTGGACTATACATAGAACATTGTTTCACAAGATTGTTCATTGGCTAAGCTTTGGGAAGGTTTTGGCACACTTTGTGGATTGTCTGCAATCAAGATCTTTTTGTCAAAAGTCAAAACTCCCCCATATTGCATGATGAAAAATGGATTTCATAATTTTTCTTGGGACATTGACACTTTAACTTTCGTCTTTTTCTAACATCCTAAAGAGCCTTCAAAACATTGCACAATCCATGTTGTAGAGTGGAATGTACATTAGAAAAATGGCTTCAGAATTTTTTTTCAGATTTCAGGATTTCCAATGTTGTGGCCAAATATTTTCTTTTCTAATTAACCCAGACAGCTTTGATACCAGTGATATGGATGTTTCAGAGTTCTTGTGGATGGGTATTAAGGATTTTAAAAAGCAACTCATTGAATTTTGGTGCTTAGACATCTGGAACTCAACGTTCTGGGATATACAAAACACACTTGAGGTTACTGAAAGCAATCAAAGTGTCTCTATTTTGACCTTTGATCTGTTGGAAGTCCCTGCCAGTGAAATTTTGCTGTTTGAAGAAATAGGCATTTTCACTGCTTTCAGCATTTGGATAAACGTGCCACTGTTAACAGGTATTTTCACACATGGAGTCAGTTCTTTGTCCCTTACGTAGCCCATTAACAACTGAATACTCAACGGCTTGTGTGCGAGTTAAGCCACGAACCTGAGACTGGAGAACTCAGCAAGGAAAGGCAAGGGCAAGAATCACACTAAGTGTTAATAATAATAATAATAATAATAATTGCTTATAAGGTGGACTCCCCTCCACCGCCACCAATGTGCAGCATCCACCTGGATGATGTGATGGCAGCCATAGTGCGCCAGAACGCTCACCACACATCAGCCATCAGTGGGGAGGAGAGCAGAGTAATGTAGCCAATTCATAGAGGGGGATTATTAGGAGGCCATGACTGGGAAAGGCCAATGGGAAATGTGGCCAGGACGCCGGGGTTACACCCTTACTCTTTTCGAGTAGGGGTGGTAAGACGTGCATATTAATTTATTCAGTTTAGATATTATTATATTGTAATTTTACATTTTTATGAACAAAAATGTAAACAGGGTTATTATTGACATTACAGGAGTACCCATAAAAACAGGTGCACGAGCTTACCCTTGGCACGCCACTTCTGAAAGGTGGCTGACTCCAGATCTAGGCAGAGTCTGGGTCCCTTCCATTCCTTAATCATCTTTGACCATTCACAAAAAGATATTAGGAGGATTATTTTTTTATACTTTTCTCCTGATCTGTGCTTTATACAACTTTCATGGTTATCTGTTTACTTTATAACTGCAAACTTGAAAGCAAAAAAATGTAAAACTGTGCAAGGGTCTGATTTTTTTTGCAAAGCATTGTATGTCATCTCACAGGATGTAATGTAGTGAATGTAGTGATTTAAAAATGTTAAAATCCTCTTTGAGGATTTCCCATGTTCTTTGATAATTATTAAACTGTGTCTATTTTCTTACTGAGAATATGTTTATAAGCTTTTCAGGACGGCACTGATTAATTACATGTCTGTACTGATCTCTAATCTGCCATGCTGAAAATAGTCTTGCACTGCCTCGTGAATACATCTAATTAATCAAAGGCACTGTCCCAGATAGAAATGTGTGCATTTTAAAATATTTTTAGTTCATTATTTAATTTCTTTATAAAATTATCAAAAGTAACACAATAAGGTCTTGCCTACTGTCAGCTACAGTCAGGCAGAAAATTTATATTTTGATTAATAAATTAATAGAATTAAGAAAATTAAATATAAAATATATTTGTGTAAGACAGGTGTAAAGTGAAATCACATAATTTCTGTGCTGTCCCATTTTATTGAATTTCAAATGATATTTACATACAGTATTATTTTAAGTGAATAGTTTTAACACAAATTTGTTAATGAATGCTGTTATGGTTAAACTAAATGCTCTTTGCAAAAACTGCAAAAAACAATCAAATACTTAGCCCTATGCATGCTGATGCACCTACCTGCTTGAACTATATCAAAAACTTAAATATGTTGATTGCTGTATTCAAACCCATCAGTTTGCATCAGTAATTGGCAGAAGCAGCTCTGTGAGGCATTTTGTATAAGTCTGTTTTACACTGGAAAAAAGTACAATTTTCACCTCTTCTTTGAAAAGTTGTTAATGCTCTGTCAAATTAATCGAAGATTAATTTTCACCCATTTTCAAGCCTTTTCACAGCTGTTCTTCTCATCTTAGGACATCATCTCATCTCATCTCAGGATCTTAAAGTCATACATTCACTTTCTTATCTTAAATCAGAGTTTAACTTTGATCTTGTGCTTTGGGTCGTAGTCCTTTAAAAGGTAAATTTCCATCCAAGTTTTAAGGCTTTTGCCAACTGAAGCAGGTTTCTGCTTCTACAATTCTAAGATTTGCCTTTACTTTGCTCTATCTGTTGTCCCCTCAATCTTATCAAGTTTCACATAGTAATGAGATGCAGCCCCATACCATAATGCTGCTACCACCATTCCTGACATTGGAGATAGTGTTGTCTGGATCATGAACTGTACTAGGTTTGTACCAGACCTAACACTTTTTCAATATTTCCCTTTCTGATCACAGAACCTTTTGTCTCATTCTTACAGTATCAAAACATCAACACATGTTTTTTTCAGTAATAGTTTCCGTTCTACTTCTCTGCCGTAATAGCCAGCTCTGTGGAGTGACAAAGATATTGATAACTGGACATTTTCTCCCATATTACCCATTGAACTCCGCATTGTCTCCTCCTTGTCTGGCTGCTCAATTTAGAGGGATAGCCTGATCTACTCAGTGTCATGTACAACACATGTTCTACCTCTTTATTGCACAATATTCAGTGTTCAATTTATCCGAGTTGTTTTGAAAACTCCTTAGTTTTCATGGTTGAATCTTTGCTTATAATACACTACCTGAATGAGGGACATTAAAGAGACGTGCATGTATTCTAAAATCGTGCGAACCACTATTATTCCACATATTCACCTATTTTTGTGACCTTTGTCAAAGTAATTTTTTGCTACTGAACTAATTTAGGTTTGCCACAGTGAAGGGGGTGAATCCAGCAATTGACATATTGTATTTTTTGCTGCCATTTAAGTTCTTTGATGCATTAAAGTATTCCATTTGAACATTCAAGATTTGATTAAGAATTTTCACTTCACAAATGTATTTTATACATATACAGTATATATACATTTGTATATATACATAATTTATAATTCAATAAAATGGGACATGATTGGTAGGGGTGAATACTTTTAAAAGGCACTATACTGTATGTGCATTTTTAGAAGTAGTTTGGACAGATCATCATCATAGAGTCTTTTGTTTGAAGTCTAGATTATTTGATCTCACTGTACTGTATATTACAGTCACTAGCAGAGAGAGAATAGTGTGAAAACTATCCAAATAGTTAGCTGAAAACTATCCAAAGCCTTTGCAATTTATTTTTTCATGTTTGTAAAAGCAATGCTTACACTGAATTTTCTGTATTCTTTCCATACAATATGAGGGTAGTATAATTGTCTTACTGTCCCATCATTCTTCAGGCTACACTTTAAATCTAAAATTTTTAAAGCATATTCCTAAAGATAAAGTATTTGTGGGTTAGGGCTGTTCAGGAAACCATGCAGGAGGCAGAATTGTTTTCTAAATATAAAGCACACAGCAGGGGACCTCTTCTCTAATCTCTATTTTAGACCTTGAGGAAGTTACAAAATCTCAGATTCCAGTCCTTTGTTTTCTCATTTTATCTCCTGTTTATGAGGAAGTATTTTTATTTTTCTAAAAAAAGCTGCCTTTAGAACAAAAATGAAACACTTTAGTGTTAATTAACAATATTATATGTTTTAAACAGCATGTACTGTAATTACTGTTTTGATATCTGGGTTAAATGATGGGACAAAGAGGAATTGAAATGCACATTTGAATCACAAAGAAACAGTAATACTGATAGTAAGTACCACTGTTGGTGCCAGTACTAGCTCATGACAATGTGCAATAACTGTCTCTCAATTCAAAATGTACTAAATATTGTGCGTGAAACAAATATGAGCAAATACTACATACTTATTGTATATACCACAGTGATTCTTCAGTTCAGAAATCCAAAATGTAACTAATACATACAATATAATATACAGTTTGTCGTTATTGTACACATTTTGTATGCCTGTTGTATTGATTTTAAATTATTTTTTACAAAATGTGTAATCTCATTTTTTGACATTTAAAAATGATACTTCTGGTACCATGGTACTGAGAAATACTGTAGCTATTTCAAGTTCAGTGATGATATAAATAATCAAAGAGAGTGAGTGCAAGTTGTGCTGACAGGAGTGGTACTGAACTGCAGCTGAGGGTAATGAATGATCTCTTTAACAGTGAAGGCAATCTGGCAACAAAGCAGATTGTTTTTCTTCAGAGACCCTGCCTACCCCGAAAGAAGAAGGAATCCAAGGTAACTGACCTCACATTCCTCAGTATGTTTCTGTTGGCTGTAATGTGATGTTATAATTTATATCCCATAGATAAATTGTAATGCAGTGTGGCTAATTTGAAATGATCAAAAAGGTCATGTTTTGTTTTCAGAAATACAAACATTTTACGTGCTGCTAAAACATGCTTTTGTAGCACTATTGCATTCACTAGAATTGTATACCATTTAGGGAATTTCTAAGCATTATAGTCTCACACAGAACTCCAATTTAGCACAGATAACTTCAAGCCTTTCATTTGGGGTGAAAAAAATGAAACATTTTGATTCAGTTGCTTCAGCTGAATCACACACAACACACAACAATCTTTACAGAAAACTTTTCAATGTTAAACCTGTGATAATACCATTTAACCAATAGTAAATTAATGGCATTCACCTTGATATCTACAGTATATCCACAAAATGCATTGTGCTTGTCACAGAGAATACCTCAAAAAAGATCTTTCTTTGAAATTTAATTTAATAGAATTCACCTCATTTAGTGGATTATGAAGTATTTTTAATGCAAACACTTCTAAAAATGTTAAGTAAACAGTCTGGCAGAACAGATAAGACTATAAAAAGACCTTTTGGAAAGGAGGTCTTTCCTCATGATTTCCTGTCAATATCTTAAATTTTCAAGGGTTATGGTGCTTAGTTTTATTTGAGTCCACTAAAAGATGAAGAAGCTCAGGCATACTCAGGCAGCCGAATATTAGTCAAATGGTATTTTTTAACATTACGGTAAAACTTTACACAATGTGGAAAGTACTAGAACCAATTTTCTTGACAGAAAGGATATAAAGATGCAATGCACATATTCTGTTCAATAAATACCAAACATCAAAAGAAATTGTGCTAGGCATTGTGCTATGCTAAACTATGCATTTTTGATTTTAGATAAATAAAGTACATGGATTTTGCATTTGTGTCATTTTGTTTAACTGATCATTAGTAATCAGCTGTGACACACACAAGTGATTTTGACTCTTGCTTAAGGTCTTAATCAAGCAAATAGTGAGAAAGTTGATTGGAGACAGTTGTGGGGGTGATTTAAACCCTTACGGAGTCAAACCTGGTGAAAATGAAGAAAGAAAATGACAGGGAGGAAACAATATGACAGCTAGTTGGCAGGCCACAGTCTGGAAGATTTTGAATCACAATACCTTGCCAAGGTCAGTGGAGAGATCCAGGTGTGATGGACTGGGCATGAGTATCTAGTCACTTCAGGCAGAACTCCACTTGTAGTAATTGATGGTAAACAGACTACACAACACATACATCATATAGTCATAGGGCCTCACCTGCTACCTATCTTGCATCACTTATCTTACATGCTGCCCGTGTAAGAAGAAAACTCAGCCTCACTGACTATTTTGGGAAGATCTTGGATGACAAACGATCTTCGAGGATTTAGAGGCCAGGGAACTGTAAGCCTTGGACTTTCATAGCAGGCTCCCTGTTGATTGACACTTTTGTCTACAGATCAGCATAATATATTTATCAATGTTATGCATTTTTTTTTACACTCATACGCATGTTTTTATTTTCAGTATATTTTTCCCAGACACAATTTAACTACAAAACATTAAGTGTAATCAAAATTAATCAGAACTAAAATATGCATTACTTCATAAATTAAATATTCCTGAAGTACTTACTGATAGCTGAGGCTTCAATATTTATCTATAATACAGAAATAAATGTACCTACTTGAAAATGTATGGCTTGTTGGTCTTAGAGTACATTGTTCAAAAGCAAAGATGTATAATCTTTTATCCTTTGACTTTAACAGAAGCTGAGTTTCAAAACAAGAAGCAAGTCAAATAAAACTTCCATTAAAGATGTGCTAAAAAACAAAAAGCACAACAGGATACCGAAACTGGCAGAGAAGATCATAGAAGATGTGGAGAAAGAGGGCGAAGAGGAGCAGGAGAAGAGCATTGAAAAAGAGGAGAACAGTAGTGAAAACAATCACAATGAGAAACAAAATGAAAGGGATAAGCAGGGGGAAATGGACACTGAACACAGCAAAGAGCCAAGGGCAGTGACAGAGGAGCAGCTTACAGCTGTGCAGGACAGCGGCGAGAAGGACAGAGGACTTGCCAAGCCTGCCTGTGTCAGTGAAGTGTCAATGTCCATCCAGGAAACAGGGAGCTCTGTCTCCCCACCAGAAAGCTGTGTCTCACTGGAATCCTTGGAGATACCCAGCTCAGACTGTGTGGAGTCTAATGATAGTTAAGTTTAATCACTTTCATGGTGCTGCAAAGCACAGTTCCACATCAAAGTGAAACAACTTTGTCACCACATAAAACTTTTGAACCTTTGAAATATTTTCTATAGTTTTGCAGCTTTAATGCATGAATTCCATTTCTAAATGTAACACAAAATTGAAAATCTGGTTCTGAGGCTTTTATGTTGATTAAAAAAGATTTGTACCATTTGTACCTTATTTGTACCAGAAAGAATGTGCTGATTGCACTATTAGCCCATAGACCTTTTTTTTAGATAGCACATTAACTTTTTGTCCCAACGTAAATTATGAATAGATTTTATTTTGTTTGACCCTGCACACGCTTCAGAACCCCTTGAAATAAACAGGGCCAGAGTACACATAATGTAGTAGACAGGTTTTCTATAACAAGCTGTAACAGCATTGCAGAAGGGATAACACTGATGTTTACTGTTAAAAGCTTCTCTTTTATCATATGGTATATTATTTCTATGCACAAAGAGTATTGTAGTCAGGCATTGTATAAGCTCCCTGTTTGCATCTTCTGGTAAATGTGTATGCTTTTTCAATATTTATGCTGATGGAACCAAATTAAAATATTCCATGTATAGTGATATACTTTAATGAAGCACAGTTACTGAGAGCAAGGGTAAGATTTTTCATTGAATGTAGTTCAGAGGTTTTGAGAAACTGAGACATGTCCATAGAAATTAAAGAGCTTAGATTTAAAAAATACAATATTGGACCATAAGGTGCGCTGTTTTGTGCTTGCTGAATTTGTAGTGTGAAGTATGGCATGTTTTAATTTAAAGTCACAATAGTCCCAAAACATGTATTCAGCTTATAGGTGAATACTTGGCGCTATGAGTGAGGAAAACAAGTAAAAACTGGTAATTATGCTGGGTCTTCAGAGACATGTTTTTTTAATACACTAGGATTCAAGTCTTCTCTGTTCAAACTACTTCCACTCTTATACTTCACAGTTAAGAGGCTAACACACCTTGCAATCTATCACATTGCCGGACAACCGATATAAAAAACGTTGATACATCTGTATAAGAGAGTGTATAGATATATATCAGTATAAATTAATATTAAATATATGCAATTATGCAAACAGTTCTTGTTAAATTGTAACTTTCAATTAACATTTGATAAATTTCTAGGACAACCACTGTTAATACTATTTAATCCCAATTACCTTATGTTCATTTCTGGCAGAGTACAGTATGTGGATTCTTTTAAAACTATATTTCACAATCTAAAACTTTAAAAATGAAAATACAGCAGATTAACCTGATCAGCCATTTCATATTCATTACATTCTCTTATATAAAACCAGAATTCCTTTTAAACATTAATTGAAAGTAATGTGTCATTCAATATGAAATATGGAATGTGAATTTATGCTCCACACAAAAAAGTGATGGGTGAAAACCCAGCCATCATAAACTGGCCTACATGCACACTGAACATCAGGTGTTATGGGATCATAGAAAATGTTTAAAGCTTGAGAGATAATGTACTGTATAAGTACTTTGTAAATTTTCTATTGCCATAAACATGTTGTAATGATTTTGATGTTTGCTGATCATGTCAATTTTAGTTATTTTTTAAAAGTCTGGACATGCTTTCCCTAATTTCCACTGTTGGAATATATAGCTATCTGGTGCATATATGTGTGTGTATGGATTTGTAAGACATATCATGTAGTTAAGAGAAATGCAACTCTCCTGAATGGTTCTACACCAACATCACCTAAATTCTAGGTCCTAAAAGAAAGACTACTACAGTATATATAATACTGAACTTCAAGCTTTGTAGGTGTGTGAATGTGCACACTTGTGAATTTTAACATATGCCATGAGAAGTGAGGGCAAATGAAATCCTGAAGTGATGGAACAATTCTCATTGAAAACCTTTATTCATGTACTTTAATAAGAAATTGTTAAAAAAAAATAGTAAAACACAAAGTACATTTGTCCTTGTTTTTTTTAAATTAAAATAAAATTTCCTTCTGATTATCTTTAAAAAGGCAATTGTAGAAGGCTCGCGTCCAACTGTAAAATGTATAATTATTAAGGGCTCTACACATATTATTGGTCCAATCAGTACCGTTACTGATCTAAGTTTGCATTAAGTTTTGACAAAAACTAAAAGTTCGTAGAAAATATTTTCACAGCACTATTTTTACATTTTTAATTTTGAAAACGTTTGAAGCAACAGAATAGTGATTTAATGCTGAACTAAAAGGGGAGGACCTGTCAGATGTAGGACAGGATGAAAATATGGTTTTAATCAGTTTCTTTTCCAAATTGTAACATGAACTCTAGCATTATACAGTTCAACACATCTGTCAAGAGCCTAATGTAACATATTTTAACTGGCTATGTTGCTTACTTGCTTAAAATTTGCTTTACGTTTTCTGAAGAACTAAGCCATGCATTTAGTAAATACAGTATTCTATTTCATGTACTTCTGTAGTAAAATCCATAAAAATGCTTAAGCAGCTCGCAGGCAACCTATGCTAAAGGTTATGCTAAACCTAGAAGCTACTAAATTAAGTAATTCTTAAATGTTTTTGGTAATTGTCATGTTCCTGTTAATTTTACTCTGATTAAGGGTGGGATTAAATCAATACACCAGTCACTTACAAATCCCAGTAAGTCATTCAACTTTCTGTTTGCTGGAAAATGGAGATACCCGGACAATTTCAAGTGTGGTTAAAAATCTGATTAAATCCAGGCACAAATATTATTTAATATATCATCAATAATATTTAAGAATCATCAAACTATTTCAAAATGCTTGCTGAAGTGCTTCCACCTCAGTATCAAAGTACACTGAATAGTTTCAAGCAGTAATAATATGCACCTCTGTTTGAATGAAATATAAGGTAAAATTTGATTCCACATAAATGGATTTCAATTGAAGATGAAGCAAACAAATTGAAAAAATCAAACATTCCTGAATATCTTTTTTTTTATAGTAGGCCTCCTAATAATTATGGTATTAAGTCCTCTTTTTGTGTGAACATTGTATAGTAGACTAGGCTGAAAAAACATAGTTTTCTAACCAAAGCTTCATCTTTGAGTAAGAGTAACATTATCACAGAACTTAATTGCGCAAGATAGCATCACTCTGATACCATATAAGGTGATTCATGAAAGCTTGTGTACATTTGTAAAATATCAAGGGGTGACTCTCCTAGTTAGTACTCTTATTTAGTAGTTACCAACCCTGATCATGTGGGACAACCGTCTCAGTTGATTCTCATTCCATTTCAGGTCTACATTTTCAGGGTAATTGATATCTTGAATTTTTTGCTTACTTTAAAAACTTTTGGTAAAATGGCACACAATGATACTAAATTACTACAGTTTATAAGCTTGAAAATTGCTACATTTATAAATCCCATAGTCTATTAGTCTATGATTAAGAACTTTGCGGGTGCAAAAAACTGAAGATTCAGTGGTCCCCCCAGGACCAGGAAAGTGAACCTGATGAATGAACCGCAAAATGAAACTTTACAGAATTCTCCAAAACAATGTTTTCTGTAAACAGTCTTAATAGTAGTATGAGCAATGTTACATTAATTTAAAGCATAGTTTTGCTTCTTTGGACCAGCTCTGCAACTGTGCAGGTGTTACTCATTTAAGCGTTTCCTGCATCTTTGAGTAATCTGCAGTGTTTAGAACTAATCAGTTCTACCATGCCATAGTTTTAAATTACTAACAGAGAACAACTTAAAGTGCTCATTCTCCACAGCATATACCAATGGTTGTGAAAAGAGAACCCATAAATCTTGGCACAGATTTTATTCCAGTGTTAGAAGCTTTATGTATCTGTAAGCTATTCTACCATATACTTTTCTTTGTGACTTTATGAAAACAGAAAGGCAATAGTGTTAAAGGGTATTTCAGCAAAATTCACACATACTGTACGGTGATTTCCACTACTGCAAACAAAATCTGTGAGCTTCTTTAATATTCTTTGTTGATGTGATTGGTATAGAACAGCAGAGTTCACAGACCTTGTTAATTTTTGTAATGCTTCTTTTATATTTGAAACACCATGTGCTTGCTGAGCATCCTGTACAAATGTGTATATTACAAATCTGCTTTATATTTGTTTATTTTGTTTTGATCATGAATATATTTGGTTTTCTAATCAATAAAGATGTGTGTTTGAACTCTTGAATTTTTACATGGAAATAGGATGCTCCATCTACATTTCCAAACAATTGTTTGAATGTACAATTCATAAAAGGATTTAAATAATAATCAATTTAAGTCTTAAACTTTGAACAGGCTTGGGGGGAAAAATAGAAAAAAATACAGGTACTTCACAAAATAAAAAGCCATTTTTTGCTGGCTTTATCCATTGTTTGTTATTCTCCATTTTATCACATACTGTACGATCCTTATCTTGTAGTCTTACCCAATAGCAGTCATTTGCCTAAAATATAAACCATTATAGTGAGCTCCCTATACCTAGAAATGACCTTAAAATGTTTCATCATATATTTTCCAAGATTGTTATATCCCCAAGGGAACTTTTCAACATCACTTTTCTCCCTGCACCCCATCAAGACAAACCCTAATGAGGTTTCCAATACACATCATTCCAAAACTCAGTCTGCCCTTTCACTCTTCGGAAGCTTCAAATTTCTCACACTCATTGCCATCTAAATCATTAAAAAGTAACCAAATAAACTGACTATTTCACAAGCTGAAGGGAACACGACAATCCAACAAATGCAATACAAAAAACATCAATTGAAGATATTGACACACCCGAAGAAGGCTCCACAGCTGAAATGTTATGTTTCCTTTCTTCTCTTTTCAGCATGGAATAAACCTATTACTTGAACAATTGAAGATTCCAAGCTCTTCAGTAACTTGTTTTTTAATTTAGTTATAAGAATGACAAATTCATGGTCTCAGGTATAATCTTACATTTGATTCATAGCTGTCAATGTCTGCATTTTGATTGTAGGCCCCTGCATTGGAACCCGGGCTAAGTATGTTGAATTTGCATTGGTTTGGAAATTATAGCTTCATCTGCATAAACAAAGTGCAAATACAGTATCTCAATTTCAGCATCTCTTGCTAAAATTATTGTAAATGAATACAAAACTATTACGTTAACCACAGTTCAGTGCCCGTGTGAAAAGATTTGTCATAAGATAGAAGAGAAGTTAGGGGAGAATAGCCTAACTAGGCTTGATGTCAGGGTATAGATTTGAAGGAATTAGCATGAATAAGCAAATATTGCTATTAGCATAATATTAAAAGGTCTCTAGAAAACCAAAAAATGTTTTATCTTATTATTTGTAAATTTAAACACTACATAATTCAGGGTAGAGATTGGAAGAACCACCAAAGAATCAATCATTTTATTCCAAATTCAAAGGTACTCTTTATATTTATATACATTTTGAAAAAAAGAAAAGGTTAAGCAGTAAGGCCTTTTATCGCAAAATATCATAAAATGAAATGTTCTAATTGTTTTAACTTCAGTACTTTAACTTACACATTTAACAGCATGGTCTGTTAGTCTGCAAATTGAAAAGCCCTATAAAATGAGGTAATAGCATGCCTCCCAGAGCTGCACCTTATTATTGAATAGTACTGTAACCAGTCATTCCGTTAATTTTCCAAGTTTCTTTGAGCAGCAGCAGTATGGTGGAATGGTTGTGGGTTCATATCCCAGGTAGGATACTACTGCTGCACCCTTGAGCTAAGTACTGTACATCACTCAGACTGCTGCAGTAAAAGACAGCTCTAAGTCTAATATAGATCAGCCTTATAATCACAATTGAAACTGCAACATTTTAAGTATTTTTCTTGCTGTTAAAATGTTAACTATAGGCTATAATTTACTCCTTCATAAGTGGAGTAGATATGTACAGGGCATTACGTGGCAAAAAATGGACACTTTATTTAATTATATACAGTAAGATTTGCACAATTTTTTTACCACTTAAAATGCATCACAAAACTGTTTTATGGGACTTTTTATAAGACCCTATAGTTTCGTTTGTTCTGTATTTTTAGTACAGCTTCCTTTTTATGTGCCTGCAGCTTCTTTTTAAAACATAATTGTTCCAGTTAATCTACCAATATTTTAGCTAGTCATTCAGGAAGGAATCCTGTTGGCAGTAGCTTCCATGCCACAGGAAGAAAGTCTGCCAGAAAAGGGAAACATCCAGGATGAGGCCCATTTTCTTTAAGATCGTTTACTTTAAGGTATAAAGAGACTTAATATTTGAGGTCAAGCAATAATTTGTTCCAGGCACTTGAGTCAGAATTATTCCCAATAAAACCCTAGAGTGTTTTAGCTTTAAGTAGCAGTTGGGAATGATGTCTAACATGCTTGGGTCTGCTATCTGGCACCAGCAAGACGAGTTGAAAAGTATAATATTTTGTTTTAACTTGATCTTTGTCTAAGATTAACAAATCTTTTGAATGTACTTTTTAGTAAATGTCTGTTACAACAAATTCACTTCATACCATTATGTGAGACAGAACATAGGTTCTTGACCAATACCAATACAAACAAAGACTTAACCTTTTCATGAGCATACAGTATGTTACATCTCCCTAACATTTTGTATTTATTTTTGCTCATTGGGTAACAATTTTATTGTTTCAGAAAACACCACATTACACCACTTGACATTTTCCTGTTTTATTCTTTATATCCTTTTATAATATGCCAGAGTAGGGTATTTCTTTGCTTTCTTAACATTTAAGTGAAAACATTAAACATTTTTTTTTAATAATTCTCTTTGAGCTCACAGGAGTGTGCACTAACTTATAGTAACTAAATGTGAACTATTAACAAACAATTGTCAATATTGATAACATTGCTTATTTATATGAATGTCTAGATGAGATCCTTGAATTAGCTGCTATAAACCAATCATGCGAAATGGACTGAAAATGTTATGTTATTTGCATTTTTCATTTTTTATTGCGATAAGAAGAATAGCATAGAGTGGCCAGCTATGTTAGTATGCAAGCTGCAAAGGAACAATTAATGTAGCATTATTAACTCTATACTACTTCTATGAAAAATGTTTCAACTGTGAATACTTTTTCAGGCTCCTGGCACACTTGAATTCTCCACAGCTGAAATGTATTTTTGTAATTGTAATTCCCTTTCAGTGTTTAATTTACTGGTTCTTCTTCTAAGAAACTTTTCTCTAAGAATATTGTAGTAGCAATTACCAAGTAGCAACTTTCAGTTTGTTCCTGTGAGAATGACAACCTCCTAATCTGACCTAAGGATAACCTATTCGGAATTCAAGCTTTCATACAGGAATCTCAACCACGAATAATTCAAATTAATGTGCTGGATACCAAATGGTCTTTTACTATCACTTATCACTCAGCTCCCCGCCAAAAAAATGGAACCAAATAGGGTAGATAATATACATTCATTTTTATCAAGGACAGCTTTTGGATAGCATTGAATTCCTGTTCAGTGCATGTCATGCTAAAGAAAGAAGGATTTTGACACCACTCCCCTGATAACCTGATGTTTTCCATCTGTCACATGCTTCTTGGAATGTCAGTTCATTTGGAATGAAGAATCTGTTTTTAAACGCACCACTGACTACAATCTTAGCCTCAAACTATCCTTTGCAAATACTCCTACTTTTCAAACAACCACACAGAATATTGGATATTTTCACTTTCCTTTAGCAAGTTTTTTATATCACGTTTTCCCCAGACAGACAAATCTCTTTTTATTTTGCACCTCAGCCTTTTACCATACAAACAACACCTTCTAGTGGCCATGACAACAATAATTCTGACTTACTACAGTACAAGCATACTTTCAATTAGACCTTAACTGATAATAAAATGTATTCTTTCTGTAAAAACATAAAAAACAACTGTAAATAAAGAAAACTATGCAATTACAGATTTATATATATCTAAAAAAACAAATTATTTTATGGCCCAAACTATGTAGTACAACGTTTATCTCTTTGCTAACAGTACAGTGAAAACATGTGAGGACTCCTTTGAAATGCAATTTATGACCTCAATATATTGTGAAGCCCTTATGTCTTTAATACAGCTTCAGATCTACTACACCTTATTATAACTCTGAAGATGTTTTAAAGAGCAAAAGCATCATCATAGTTAAGTAGCCTAGACAGCATCTTTAAAATAGAAGTAACTCTCCAGGCAGCATTAGCTCACAACTAACTCTGGCCGCCAGTGTTAAGGGATTAGACAATGGCTTGTCAGGAGTTCCTTGGCTTACTGCATAACAGTGGCTCTTGGACTGTGATAATCTTGCAGTGAGGATTGTAAGAGGTGTGCTGACTCTCATGTAGGTCACTGAGGAACCTGCACATTGCCAAATGTTGAAATGGCTCTGACAGGTGACACCACACATGTGGCAGGAGGGTTTGCACAGATCAATAAGGCATTATTTTCCCTCTATAGCATAGGGTAGCATGGTATGGAGCTAAAATGAAATATTGTAAGTGTTAGCATTGTGTATAATCTCCCTGGGATTAAGACAATCCTGGCAGTTCTGAAACATAGACCTCACCCGCCTCTGTACAACCTACTGTTGTGCTTCCACTTTTCCTCTGAAGTTATAGAGAACTATTGGAGGTTTGACCAGTTGTGGTTGGCTAATGTTGATGTCATTGACAGGCTGGTCTGAAAGATTATCTATTGCACTCAGGAGAAAAAATGGTCATAGCAAGACCGTGTTGACATTAAGACATTATTTTCCTGAATTAGTGCCATTGTAATTATAACACTGTGTGCTGTTGCATGTCCAGTTGGAAAATCCACACTTCTGGATGGACTTCAACATCCACACACTTTCACTAACCCACCAGTTCAGCAGCTTTGTGGAGTGGTGTGGGGTGAACCACTTGGAACTGAATGTTACAAAGGAACTGGTGGTAGATTTCAGGAGGAAAAAGGTCAAACCTACTCCTGTCTACATCCATGGGAGTGGCGTGGAGATGGTGGACTCGTACAAGTACCTGGGAGTGCACATCGACGATAGACTGGAATGGTCTAAGAACATCGAGGCCATCTATAAGAACGGACAGAGCCGACTTTACTTCTTGAGGAGGCTCAGGTCCTTCAATGTGTGTAGTAAGATGCTACACATGTTTTATCAGTCGGTGGTAGCGAGTGCCATTTTCTACGCAGTGGTGTGCTGGGGCTCTGGGATTAGAGCAGTAGATTCCAAAAGGCTGAACAAGCTCATCAGGAGAGCAAGCTCTGTCATTGGGTCTGACCTGGACCCCTTGGAGGTAGTGGCTGAGAGGAGAATGATTTCCAAACTAGAGGCCATCATGGACAACTTCTCCCATCCCCTCTATGACAGGCTTGCAGGAATGAAGAGCACGTTCAGCAATAGACTGATTCATCCACGGTGCGACAGGGAGCGCTACAGGAGGTCATTCTTGCCGTCTGCCATAAGACTGTACAACGCATCCACCTTGCGTCTTGGCAGAGGCAACAGCGACAGTGACCTGTTTCTGGACTAAACGCATATACACATCTACTGCTACATCTGTTCTCTTTCTTTTTCTTTTTCCCGTTTACAACCACTTTTGTGCAATATATGCCAGGGACCTGTGCAATACATTTATATTTATATTTATGGTTACATCTATATTTATATTCATACGTGTGATACGATTTTCTGTGTACTGTTCTGTTCTAGTTTCCTCTTGTGTGTCCGGACTGTGAGTAACTCTTGTATTGTATTGTATGTATTGTACTATTATTATATAATTTGTTACACTGTGGCTGTGTTGTGTGTGTTAAGCTGCTGTTGCACTGCAATTTCCCTCACGGAATCAATAAAGTATCTATCTATCAGTTAACAAGAATACCACAGCAGTCAAAATAATACTCATCACAACTTCTCCAGACATCGGTTTCCAACAGCTCTGTCAAGGACAAAACAGCAGTCATTAACAAAACACCCCACCACTCAAGCCCACCAAAGATGAAGATTCTGGACTAGTCTATTGATTGTTAAAAGTCATTCTACAGAGAACATCTCTTACAGAAAGCCATCTTCAATCAAAACAATTAAAAGCAAGCAATGTTCATTAGTCAAATAGAAAATAACCATGTTGTTTGCTTTACATGTGTTCAAATTTAAATTAATTTTTGAATGGCTATTTATATTCTTAAATATTGAAAACTCATCGAATTTCTGAAATCACTATATTGAGAATTTTGTTATCCTAAGGAATTACTCAATCAAGACACCAACAGGTCACTATTAAAAATGCAAATATTATGTATGTGCCTACATATCTAAAGCTGATGGTGTGTTTTAATTGTGCTTCCATACTGTATATATTCTGGTAAAGTTGTGTGGCTAAGATGTTTTTCTAAAACCATGGACAGTTTTCAGAACAGAAACATTTCATATTATTCATTTTGTATTGATTATTATCCAATAAAGAAGACTTATTGTACCTGAACAAGATATTTTAATAATGTTTGGATTTGAATAATGTCTTGGAATATTGTTTTTCTGAGTGACGTTTGATTTTTTGAATAAGAAAACACTAATAAAAGGAAAGATAAAAAAACACTCTCTAAATAAAGTACAGGCATATTCATGTCCATTAAATATACCAAATGATCTTCTGGACAATACTCGTCTTTGACTAGTATAGATGTATGTGACTAAACAAACATGTGGCCTTACACACCAATAAACTGGTACGATGCTGTGAGAAAGTGTGTATTGTAATAGATACACAAACACCTACTATATTCCAGGAAATAGATTTTGTATCTACAATTTAGTGGTTTCAAGGAACACACATTCCAGATAGTCAGAAAATGTCTAAAAAGGTATATTACATGATAAATAAAATGAATGAAGAATCTAACAAATAAACACAAAATTAAAAAAAAAACAAGATGCATTTATTAATTCCTTTGTCAGTGCCGCTTATACATACAAATTTAAACTTGTAAGGCAAATGCTACTATATTCTTGTTTGTATGACTTTTTCATTGAAAAATACTAATTAAGAAAGTCATTAATACAGTTTACAGGCATTGGCTCATTTGCCATAAAATATTTAACTCTCATAATGCCTTTAAAAAAAAAACAACAGGGAGCATAACTGCAATTAATCAGTACACATGTAAAAGTGTAAATTCCTTTAACATACTAAATTACCTTTTAAAATTTTACTATGTAAGTTACTCATAATTCTAATATTACACCTTTTGACACCATGCTTTCGTGCATTTTACAAATGAAGCACTATTTTTTTTCCCAGAGAAAATGCCCAGGCCTTATAAACATTTGTTATTAAGCTCTGGGAACACATAGTTAAAAAAATTTATAAAGACCACTGGGGAAAACATACCACCTTGTAAATGAAGTGTAAGATGCTAATAATTCATAAATAAAAGCTTGAATTTTGTCCGAATCACTCAAGATGAATTTGCTTCATTAGGGACCACTTTAATTGGGCTAAGATAAAACATGACTAGATTGTGAACAAAATATTTTTTTTGTTGATTGCAACCCATGCCCACAGCACACACACCACAAAATGTAAATGTAAATCAGATAACAATAGAAAATATTTACAATGCCTTGCAAAAGTATCCATTCCCTTCCAATAATCTCCCATTTTGTTGAATTACAAATAATGTTTTCATAGTTTTAAGCAAATTGTTTTAATCAAAGGTTGAATGTTCAAACTCAACAATTTTACTGGTGAAAGAATTTAAATGAGCAAAAGTATTAAAAAAAAGTTTAGGGACTGAAAAGTATTTTGGTGTTATTGATGGGCAACCATTTTCAAGTACTGCCACATTTTTATTATATTCAAGTAATGACTGACTGGGATGTTCAAGGACTTTAACTTTCTTGTTGTTAAGTCTAATGTAGCTTTGGCCTTGTGCTTTGGATCACTATCCTGCTAAAAGGTCAACATTTATCCTAGTTTTTAGTCTTTAGTAGACTGATGCAGATTTTTCACTAAGATTTGCTAAGACTTTGCTCCATTTTCCCCTTCATCTTCACAAGCTTCCTAGTCCTAACAATTCCATGACAGTAGAAATGGTGATGACAGTTACAGTATATGCTGTCTTGAGTGAATCACTAAATGTAACACTTTGCATTTAGACTAAAAAAATCCAATTTTATCTCATCTGGGCACAACACCTTTTGCAAAATGTTTGCAGTATTACTTAAATTATTTATTTAATAATTCCATGTGGAATTTGAGATGGGCTTTTTTCAATAATGGTTTCCTTCTTGCCTTTCTGCCACTTGCCATATTGTTGACTTATTAACACATTTTTCCACATTTTAGCTACTGAACTCTGTATTTCGATACAGAATACACATCACAAAAGCACCCCTCACCATTTTCTCCTGGCTCGGCTGCTCATTTTGGAGGGACAGCCTGATTTAGGCAGTGTCAGAATGATATAATACACATTCCACTTCCTAATGATCAAAGAGATATCAAGCACGTTTCACTTCTTTATGCCCTGATATGTGCTTTTCTACAAGTTAATCACCAAATAGTTTGAAAGCTTTTGATGCATTTTAAAATTCATTTGAAATGTCTCTACTTGATTTATTGACATTATATTGAGTTATATTGTGAAATCATGTGATAGCTATTTTTGCACATCAGTGTTCAGTTTTAGTCTCGGGTTTTGATTTAAAATCTTCACTAATTAATGCATCACTTGTAATTCAACAAAACAGATAATCATTGAAAGGGGACAAATACTTCTGAAAGGCACTTCAGACTTTGTTTCAGTATATCCAAAAAAGAAGAGACTTTCAAATTCTTTAAAAGAATGATAGATTTCAATTGTCAAAAATAAAAAAATTCAATAATTGATTTAAATGATACATTCAATAATATATAAATTTATAAATCAATATTTTTGATAAAATATGTATTACAAATAACAGGACCGTTTATTTCAAATATTAGGTCCTGAATATATTGAGTATATTGGTCAGTGGACTGCAGGTCTATCCCTTTGTGGATTGTGATTTTACAAATTGTTAAAAAAGCTACACGAACGGGGACATTATTACAGCTGCCTGACTGCAATTCAGCTGACTGACCAGGGTTACGGCTTCACAATAAAACAGTTGTTCTGAGAAATAAAATGAATGGCTTTTTAAATACAGTTATAAATATGGTTATATTTATCCTATATTATTGAAAAATAAGACCGCTGTTCATTTGGCCAAAAGATGCTTGCTGAACCATAGGAAGCAGTTACCACCACTTCTCAAATAGAATCTTTTCCTCAGAAAGTCCCAGGCATTGTAGCTGTCCAGAAACGTATTCTATCATGGGAGGTGGTCCACATATGAAACACAAGGTATTCTCTGACAAATGTTCCTTCAGAATCTTTTGTGATATTCTTCCTTCTGAAAAAAAAAAACAACACAAAATGTATTTCAAACTAAATATTGACAAGATTCAATTTTATACCATTTTGTAAATTATTTTTAAAGTTTTAAGGACTGAACAAGAATACTAGGTTGTTCAATTTTGTATCCCCCTACACCAATCAAATTTTAAACAAGCAGTTTTTGGAATTAAGACTTGTGGTATGCAACACCAATATTTTACTTGACAATTTGTTCATCTGCAATTCAGCTTCAGTAGTTGAAAATGAATAGTAAAATTACAAATTTTATTCAATTTGAATATCCACTCATTTATAGTTTAAATTAAAATTAAAAATCATATCTGAATACCAATATTCCCTTGGGACCAATTTCTAGCGGATGTAAAGGATGACCTATGTTGTTGGTCACTCTGTCATAATACTTCTCCAAGGCTAACCCCAGAAGCTATACAACAAAGGTCTTACAAAATCCAGGTTTACTAAACAGCATTTCCTTGTCTTATTTTGGTTGCACTTCTTCTATTTTTATACTATATCAGAATATCAGAATGAGTTTTTTTTCGAAGTTTTGGGAAAGATGGTGGTAACAGCTTAAAGAACTCATGGCATCCTAGGTTTCCATGAATTTGTTCTTCAAAGGAATATTCAGATGGATTGAACTGCATTTTAGTACCCAGATCTTCCATAAGTAACTTGCAGGATAGAAAATGAGATCACTCTAGCGCATCTAGTTTTTGCAGTTTTAGTTGAGCTTTGAATGCTGTTATATTACACAACACTTGTCAGCAGCTGCACGGGCATGATAAACAAGAAAAGCAAGATCCATCATTCATTTTGCATCTTCAAATTGTGGAAAAGTCACATGAATCTCTTTAAAAAAACTTTTCACCACAGTTGTTAACTTAAAGAATCCCTTTAAAACAATCCTCCTGCTTATTGAACATACTTCTATGAACTGCATTAAATCAATGTTTCACAACAATATTCATGATATTGTTACATTTCAAAGATTTACTTCACAATGCACGTTAATGAATCATGCAGCATAATGCAATTCATGCTCTCTTTTTTGGTACTGTCAATGCCACTCTTTTTTTTCCCCAAATCACTGCTGGTGAAGCTACATGAATGCCACAGCAGACCAGCTCATTTCAGGGAGTCCGACAGGCTATGGACTGTTGTTCTACCGCACAACGGAGACAAACTGAACTGTTCAACATGAAGTCTGTGACTTCAAAGTTTTCATCTACGCTTCTCAAAAAATCACTACCTGCAAAGTGATATTCTGATCCATACTCTCATCAAGTGTGGCTGAGTATGCACTGAATGCTTTTCCTCACGATCAGCTTCTCCTCTATATTGTTAGAAAGCTCAAACAAAATGTTCCACAACTGTATTTTTCCTTGCACTTTAATAACAGTATTTAATAAAGACACTGCCAGAGTGGCTCTCCATATTTAGCAATCATTTCATTCATTGCATAACTTTCCAAAACAAAGAACCCAGACTCTTTTCTTCAGTGCATATCAGATTTTTGCTGCAGAACCAATCATTTTTTCAACTGCAAAGCGGTTTCCTTCATCTCTTTTCCCTAATAGTTAACCATTCTATGGCTATATTAGACTCCTATGCAATTTTTCATTGCTGTTCAGCATTGTATTAGACTCTGTAAGAGAAGACCACTTTCAATAAATGATTATACACATTATGGTCTTTATGAAACAAGTCTTATCGATCAATTATTTCATGTCATCTGTAAACAGAATGGTTCAATCAATAAAACAAATGGAAGCTCACTGCTGAATAAGAAACATCACAATTTGGAAAGCAGTGAGATGATGGATTTTCCTCATGACTGGTTGACACTGCATTTTGGCTAGCTGGTTTGACTTTTTAATCTGAAAATTAAATATGCTGATATTATTTAATATGAGGAGCACTTCCCTCTTTTGTAAGGATCTTAAATCACAGAATATCCTTTTCTGGGATCTGTCATTTTTCTCCTTCTCTTCTCCCTGATGCTACCATACAGCCCAGCCTGTTGTGTTGTGTATTGGCACTTTATATCGTAGTCTTTTAAGATAGCAAAGAGTCTCCAAATGAAACTTGTCTCCTTCTGCTTGTGCTACACTAAAAATAACTGACTGTACCGTCTTCTGGACATTTTGCAGTTTGCAGTCAATTTTTGTTTTTCTGTGAGATATTTAACTGCAGTAAGAATTTCAATTATCATGGAGTCTGGTCATATTTTCCAGTGCATTGTCTTGAGTGTTGTGATTATCTGGCAATGCTTACTGTAATGCTATTAAGTTCCCTATGGAAATGTATGTTTTATATGATTTCTGGTAATCATTGTAAATTAGGTAGCTGTCATTTTAGGCCACAGTTCTGGTAAGAACACAGACATTATACTTTATATACCGCAGTCAGGTAGTGGTATATCATTACAGCAGGTGGGACTGTAGTGATGTTGAGGTGTAGATGCCAACAAGGCCAACAAGCTTTGTTGTTTGAGACCCCTATTACTGGTCACAAAAAGATTTAAAACATAAATACCAACATAATATCCCCATATATGTACAGTTTTACAGGACAGTTATCAAAGAATATATAAAATACACTTTCTATGCCCTTCTTCTAATTGTTTGATCTGATCATTACCCTGTAGACAGAAACAGAGGGACATTGCTATTTAAAAGATTATGGGCAACATTCAGGCAGAAATATTCACAGAAATGCATTAAGTTTTGACTGGTCTTATCTGGATGGGGTTACTTCCAGGTAGGGAGTTTATTTAGAAATCAAAATATACTCTCACTTTATATTTCTATAGCATTTCTAGAAAATGAGTGGGTTTGTGTGTAAGCGATAATGTAAGTCAGGAGCTTAATTGTAATTAGAAACAACAATTTTGTCTGTAAATTTGTTCTTTAAATGTGCACCTTCCCATCCAAATAACATGGAACTACAGACAGAATGTTTATTTTTATTTGTAGACACTATTCACAGTTCCTTGACCGTCATTTAGATTCATGGAAAGCCAGATATACAGGGTGGTTATAGAATTCGCAAAACTTTGTGGTTTCTTGCTAGCAGGATGAGGCCTGCCCTCATTACACTCTGCTTGCACACTCTATATTTGTTAACGTTTTACATTTTCCATCAATTTGAGAACAAAGACAATTTTTAAAATAAGACAGTAAACTACAGTTATTGTAATATAAAGCCAGAAATTGTTCTAAACATAACAACTGAGTTTCTAATTTAGTTTTGTAAAGTCAGTGTTTTAGTAATCAGTGAGAATTAAATTTCTAACAGAACTTACCACTAATGTATGGTCTGAGATGTGTGTCAATTTCGGTCTCCTGTTGTGTAACATGGAAGTTACAGGAAACCTTTTCAAAAAACTCTTTGGAAAGTCCGATGATGGTATTCTAGCAAGAGAACAACAGCATTAGCACTGAGAAGAGCGAGTTAAATCAATTTTCTGCATTTGTTAATCATTCCTTTAAAACCTTTTTTTTAAGCAAAAACACTGCCTATAAAATATCCTTTTTAAATTTACTTTTACTTTTTTTTCTCCCTATGAGAAGGTTAAACTAAAAAGCAGGGAACTGACTAGATTATCGATTTGTGACATAATTTAGACAAATATTATTTATTATGCTAAGCAATGTTTTATTACTATCCAGCATTGTATTAGACCTTACAAAATGTGCTTGAGAAAGATCATTCACTTTCAACAAGTCATTACGTTCTTTACAAAACACGGCTTGACACTGAATTATTTCATGTTATCTGTAAACAGAACGGTTAAATAATTGAAGGGAATGGAAGCTCACAGTTCAATAAGAAACATCAATGTGAAAAGCAGTGTGATGATGGTTCTGCCTCATGACTTTTTGGCTTACATTTTTGTTCAGCTGCTATAATCTTTCATTTTGAAAACATCCTAAATGACACCTTCTTAAGCCTTTATTCATCTGCAAATGAAATATGCTGCTAATATTAATTTAAAATGTGATGATTTCCTATTATTTTAATGACCTTAAGTTACAGAATACTTTTCTGGGCTCTGTCATATTTCTTTCAAATAGAAGTACGTGCACTAATACCATTGCATAAAGTTTAAGTCCACTACATTTTTCTAAACATACAGTATGGGGAAATATAACCTAAATTATTTCCTTCTACAATTGCAGATTTTTAATTTGAATCTTACTCATATTGAATATGGACTGTGTAATATAAGTGTTTTCCATGTCATACTATGAGACAGAATACTACATTTCAAAGCAATGTATACAAAAGCAGTTATAATTGTTTTTAACGAATAACAACTTGACATAACGTATGACATGACATTAACATAAATTAGAACATAGGTACCTTGAAAAGTAGCTCCTCTGTATTTTTGGCACTATAGAACAGCTTTACAGAGCAAGGCTCATACCCAGAGCCTTCTCTTTCCCTCTGTCTGTACAGGTCAGCTACATGGAGCAGGATGGAGAACAAAGGATTGATTCCCACCCCTCCTGCCACAAGCAACAGGTTCACTGCTGGGTCAGAAGGCTGAGGGTCAAAATAGAAATCGCCTCCAACTCTAACGGCTATCTCAGAATCCAGGGTGCACTGTGGGGAAGAAATAGGATGTCATTAACAACATGCAGATCCAGCCATTTAAAATCAAGAGGTGTCATGTGGCATACGGCAATAAGTGCCACGGCACAAACACCACCACATCTCACCCTTTTCATTTATTCAAATAATGTGATGCAGGACTGCACTACTAGGTAAAACTGCCAGGTAGCGCAGTGAATCCAGCTGTGTCTGGATTCGTTTACAGTACATCTTATTTTAGAAATAAATATTATATATGGGCGGAGCAGTGGGACTGTGGCTAAGGATCTGTGCCTGTGGCTGGAAGGTTGCTCAAATTCCACGGCTGGCAGAGGAATCCTACTCTGTTGGGCCCCTGAGCAAGGCCCTTAACCCAGACTGCTCCGGGGGCGCCGTATAATTTGCTGACCCTGCGCTCTGACCCCAAGCTTCTCTCCCTTTCTGTGTGCCTGTGTCTCATGGAGAGCAAGCTAGGGTATGGGAAAAGACAATTCCTAGTGCAAGAAAGTGTATATGGCTAATAAAGTGATCTTATTCCATTTTTATTTAGTAGTCAGTGCTTTAGTAGTTAGTCCCATTTGCACTTTCCTGTGCCACAGACTGTAAAAGCTACAATTTCATTAAATACAATGATTATGAACAACTCCAGATAAGATACAGTATGTCACAATTACAATTTTTATTTACATACAGTATACATAATTATTAGTTACAGTGTATAAATGGTAGTTAGAAAATAATTTTATTTTAGATTTTGATGGTTAAAAATATATTATACGGACCATCTTTAAAAACAGTGTATTCAAAACCACTATATAAAGGGTTTTTCTTTAAGGAAACCACACTGTTGTCACAACAATGCCACAATAATTACAACGTTTTTGATTTATAATATTATGTTTTTACTGTGTTTCTCAGTAATATTGTGCAAGTTTTCATTCAGTGTTTTTATTCAACAAGGCTGCATTTTGAAACACATTGAAATGCAATGGACTTTGGTCCGTTTGGTTTCATTTCCTTTGCAATTATAACATAATTAATTTTAATTATTTGACGCTTTAGTGGTTTAGCAGCAGAATTCTCACAAATTAAGGCCAATGCATTAGAATAATTGATATTTTGTCTCAATGCTAATTATGCAATCAAAATGATAGAAGGAAACTCAAACATCAAAAGACAGTTTGTTCTACGTGAAATAATTTATACTTAAAGGGTATTTTCTTTATACATAATGGGAAGCTATCTTGGCTTTGTTGGACCTCTTTCTCCATTTGGCTGCCTCACTCTGTCTCAAATACTTTTAATTAAGCATAGTTTAAGCTCTAATAAAAATTACGCTGTGTGAGTTTGAACTGTATATTTCACATGTTCTCCCTCCCACTTACTTGCTGAGTACGTGTGTGCTGTGCCCCAAATTAGGGCATTTCGCTGGCTTTTTAAACCCCGTTCATTCCACACTATGCATATCTGATGAATTTATATATAAAATATGTTCTTATCAGTCTATTACCTCATACAGCACGTCCCCAATACAAATGGTGATGCAGAATAGTTTCACACAATAGAGTAAAACGCTTCTGTGAGTGGGCAGCCTCTAAGTCTCTGAAGTTGTTTTGCTTTAATTTTTACTTTACAAATGTAAATTTTTAATATATAATACACCATTGGGTGGCATTAAAGCAGCTATGTGGTGTGGCCAGTATTTTGTATTTGGGGTGGCAGGGACACCAGCATAAAACAATGAGATCCCATGGTTGTTGCAGGCAAAAAAAGAAACTTCATGAACGTGGGGAGCTATCTGACAAAGCAAACTATGCGGAGAAATGTGCAGCCATCTGCCAAGAACTACCTGTCAAGAAATCTGTAAATGTATATTTTTAAGAACATGATGGTCAGGTAAAGTATCTCATACTACAGCATGACCTGTCCCACTGAATTTCTCATGATATCAGACCCCACTTTTTTCACATTTCAGCACATTTCAGGCCCCCTCCTCCACTTCTGCAGCTACCCATTTGTTAGGTCTCACTCTGCAGGAGATCCTGGCCTCCTCATCCCCAAAACAAGGGAAGGGTGAAGAGGGGGATTCAAGAGAGACACAAAACACATCTCACATTTTGGTCTCCAGTTTCATAACACTACACAAGATTCATTAATCTTAAATGATTGTTGTTTATTGTCTTTTTAATGTCACTTTGAAAGTTTAGATTATTATTATAAGAACATGTTATACATTGCGGATTTAATGATTAGTATTTAAAAGCACATATACTCATCTAAAATCTAAATTGTGATTGCTGTTTAAGGGCATCTTGAAACTCCCTTACTTTGTCCGAGCATGCTGGAGGTCTGACAGGTAGAACTTGTTTTTATACTGCAGTATTCACATTTGATTACTCTACACTTAGGAAGTTCATTGCGTTAATTTATTATTAATATATTATTTTAATATTTTACATACTCTGATAGATTTAAATATAGTATACATATTAGTTATAGTAGATTTGTTATTACATTTTATTATTAGAGAAAGTTTTTATTTTTTAAAAGTACAACTTGTGCATTTGGCCAGAATGTGGCAGGCAAGAATTCTACCATTGAACCCCCAATGTGTCATTCTGATTGGAAAGCTAAATTCAAAGCTAATTTTCAATTACAGCAATAACAACAGCAAGTGTTCATGGAAAACGAGCATGTGGAAACTTTTGCAAAATAATTACAGCAAGTGGTCGGGTTAAATGACAGAAGATTACCATTAGGTGAAAGCAAAAGAGGAGAGGAAAAACAAGTTTGTACATCACAGAGATGTTGCTTAGGTGGTTTGTCTGCAATTCCACTAGATTAATATATTTTCTGTTGGTAAAACTAGAATTTGTAAATCTTCACATTGCCCACTTTCAAGCTTTGTTATTTATTGTTGTGAGGCTGTCTACATGTCCAGTTGCCCATTTCCTTGTAACCTATCTTCCCTGTATGCCTTTATGGAACATCCTTTTGCATGCTTCTCTTAGTTTACCTCACACATGGACTACAAAAAACTACAATTTATACCCCAAACTAATAATAACACCATGATTTAAATCTTCTTTCACATAGTGAAACAGAAAAGTTTAGTTCTCCTCATGTAGCAAAAGATCTTATAACTGGCTAGTCTAGAGACACAGACTGAAAAGATATACTCATACACATATATTGCAAAAGCAAGCCGATTCCTATTGCCTACTTATAATCTTAATATAAAAAGATATTAAGTCTCCTGCTGGCTTACTCTGTAAAAAAGAACCTATCAGAAAAACTAAGCAATAGTGCTGAAGAACTACAGTATAAAGCATTAATCCATGCTGTAACTACTGTCCCTCCCTGCTCTTCTTAGAAGTCTTCTGAAGAAAACTTTTGCATTTTCACACTAATATATACTGAATATATTTTGAGGTAAAAACTACTTCCCGGTTTTCATGAATAATCATGAGGTGTTTCACCAGTCAACAACTGGAGGATGCATATGGTATACTGAAACATGTTATGAACATAGCCTACAGCAACTGAGTGTGAGAAGAATTTTGAACAAAGACCACTTTACACGTGAAAATATTTCGGTTTTAATTACCACTGTAGTTTCTGATGTTTTAAAACACACAATTAAGAGTTTAATTTTGATTTTTAGTATTTTTCTATGTGGAGGGGGTTAGATGTTGGTGGGGTGAAATTTATGCCCAATTTCACAATTCCGTTTTTTTACTAGTTTAACTTAAGTAAATAAATACCTGTGTAGCAGTCTAACATGTCAAGCATAACAATCCAAAATGTGATTAACATGAAGGGAATGTCTTCTTTTTCAAGTTCCAGATGCAGGAAGGAAATAATTCTGAATACCTGCAGGGTGTTCTTTTTGAAGCCATTTCAAGCAAAATTTTCAAAAGAAGTGTTACTTGCAGACTGACCTTAAATTGTATGTTTTGCATACAAGGTAAGTAGGCAGTGTCTAAAATTTCAATTTAAAATAGATCACATAAACATCCTTCTTCTGCCGAAAAAAACTTTAAATCCTATAAACAGTAAAGTATGTAACATAAAAATGGTTTATGTTCACCTATAAGACATTCTTTTAAGAAGGAAACTATGCTTATTTGAAAGGATGGCCAATTCTATAAAGCTTATGCTTATACATGCTAATTCAAATAAACTATGCTCTCATGTGTAATTTCACCCTGTATTTCTATTCCCAGGGGCTACCCTATTATTTTCAACAACCTTTCTGGAACCTAACAATACTGATATACAGTCACAAAGAAATACAACAAACATTTAAGGAACAAGTAAAAGTTGACTCCATGATGAAAAGAGAAGAAAGGAAACAACTTTTTGGCTATGGAGCCTTCTTCGGGTGTGAGGGTTGCCCACAGCTGAAACGTTGTTCCTTTCTTCTCTTTTCAGCAAGGAATAAACCTTTACTTGCTCCTTTGCAGCCTACGCATGATGAAGCGGCTACAGTACCTACTTGAACTACAACAAACATTTACACACACATGGTGTAAAGCATGTACTCTTGTAATTTTTTAAAATTACAGAGACCACTACTTATTTTTATAAGCAAGTCATGAATTTCTGGGCTTTGTGATATCCAGGGCTTAAGTTTGGAACTGCTAAAACATATGAAATTGCACACTTGATTCTTTATTTAATGAGTTGCAGGCTTCCCTTACCAAAGGCACTGTTACCAAAAAAGACTGGATGTTGTTGATTTTTTTAGTCTGTATCAATATAGGATACAAACAGGATCCTGGTACCATGTGCAGTAGTTTTTGTTAAGAACTGAAATTCATACGAACATTATACTAATCACAATTATTATAGTACACAAACACAAATAGACTGTTACTACTTAAAAAAGCATTTAACAGATAATCAAGATGTAATAGGTGCTTTTTTGGTTACAGTAAGTATTTCAATTTGAAAATCTTAAAGCAAATACAGGACCAACAATGGTTTCAGTGTAGTCATTTCTTGTTTCCAATGTTGATTGGGAACATAAAATTTGCCACATGTTTTTCTACAGATGAAAGACAGCCACTTTCTGCACAGACACTAGGGTGTTTCAGATAGACACAGGCATGTAAATCCAATTATTGATTAGACTGGGATAATGACAATCACGATGGTGATTGAACCAAAATTTAGCAATCAAACAAATCACTCCAAAATGCACTGCAACCTTGGTCAATGTACAATAGCCTGAAAAGAGTTCAGAACATTCCATTATCTGAATTTTCCCATTTCAAAACAAACTGAAGTATAAAGTATATTGAATCAATCACCCCAATATGTGAGATATCTAAACAAATCAGGTTCGTTCATGGTGTAAACATGAAAAAATAAATCCTACCTTTCAGTCAAGTTTAACTTACCTCTGTGTGTATCCAGTGGGCTGGGGGATGCGCACTGTACTTGACAGCCAGCTCAATGACCCCCTCTCCCTCTAACAGTCTAGGGCTGGAGCAGATTGAAAATCCTCCAACTTTTGAAAGACCAGGAATTAAAAAATCCACCCTAACAAAAAATCAGTATAATACAATATTGACAACAAGTACATCAAGTTCCTCATCAAGTATTTTTTTCTGAACAAGTCGATATGAATCCACCCATTCGGAATGCACAGCTAATAATGCGCCTTAATGCGGCATGCGTGCTGCGTTCCAACATGTTTTTTTTTAAGATATTCTGTTGCAAGACTGCACTACTTTGTAAAACTCCAGGTGGTGTAGTGAACACGTAAAGTGGCATGTGGAAGTATGTGGGCTATCACCCGAAACACCTGGCTTTGAATCCCGGTCAATGCTCAGCCCCTTGTGGACAATCCTTTTACAATTATAGAATGTAATTAACTTTTATTAATTTTGTACTGTATATTACATTACATTTAATAGGAATAGGTTGATATTAAAAAGACAGTAGGGCTGTTTAACAAGACAAAATTACTCAGCTGGATATATAAAAAATAGTTTATTCCTATAGTTTGTTGTGAATGCAATGTGTTTTTTTTTCTGGCTTGCTTCTGCATTAAAATAATCTAAATAATATATTTTGTATTAATGCTTATTTTAGATTTCAGCAACAAATAATTAGGAAACAATTTCACACATACTGTACTGCAGTGGCTCTAAAATCCTACACTATTGTTTCGGCATATCTATGGATATGAGTTTGTGCAATTCACGTGCGGCACGTTATGAATTGTCGGCTTTGATCACATATTTGATTCATGTGGCCGACGTTTTAAAACTACAGTGCATGCTGTCCATGAAGCAAATATCTAATATTTTAAAAAGCCCATACTATTACATGGGGAGGAGTTATACATTTTCACCTACTCCCTTTCCGGAAAAATGACAAAAATTGCAATGACAAAAAAGTCTTCAATGCAACTGACTGGCTACACCGAAAAAAACGAACCTAGAAGAAATACAAAAAACAAATCAAATACTTTCCGAGCTCTCGAAAATTACCCCCCCCCCCAAAATAAGCCTAAAAATATATAATAGCAGGGCAGTGTTGTGGCTCAGGATCTGTGCCTGTGGCTGGAAGGCTGTCAGTTCGTATCCCACAGCCGGCCAAGGAATCCTACTCCGTTGGGCCCCTGACCAAGGCCCTTAACCCCAGCTGCTCCAGGGGAGCTGTATAAATGACTGACCCTGGGCTCTGACCCCAAGCTTCTCTTCCTGTCTGTGTGTCTCATGGAGAGCAAGCTGGGGTATGCGAAAAGACAAATTCTCAATACAAGAAATTGTATATGGCCAATAAAGTGATCTTATCTTATAAAACATATACCACAGCCAGACAACAAACAAGATCTTAAAATTCTCTGATCCAACAGCTGACCATAGTTCAGGAACAAAATACTACTTTTAATAGTACAAACCAGCACAAAAGGAACAAAAATCTACATTGTCTGTGCTGTTTTCAGAGGGACCAACTTCACATAGCTAATTCCGAACTGGCCACAATTTGATCTTTTGTGAAACCAAAAATGTTGTCAGTATATTTACTAAAGTTATCCAGCTGTATAATCTCACTGCGCTAAACAGCGCCCTTGTGCTCAATGAACATTCACACATGATTTTTAATCAAGACAAAAACCAAAAACCACGATCGCACATGCAGGTGTGAAAAACAGTAGGGTTAACAATTTTTTTTTTTAAGTTCAGATTGGTTTAAAATGTGTATCTGCTCTAACTGTTAATAAAGTAGCGAATATAACTGTGATTCTGTTTATCGTCTAATAGTGAGTCATACATGTGTGTTGCTGGTTGAGTGTACTATTACGCACAGCCTCAGTCTTAGCGTTTTCGTATTGGAAAAAAATCTGCATGCGCTTTGTCAATGTTAGTGGTTTTATAATAAAACAACCTTACTTCATCATCTCTCAATAGCATTTAATCTCAGAAACGTACAGTAGCATATCTGTGTCATATGGACAGTTACTGTACATCTCTTAGAAAAAAGCAGAACAAACTACTTTTTACAGCACATTGTTTGTACGATTAAAAGTGGTCCAACTCCATGACTGATAGTACAGTTTCTTTAAAATTTAAGATATTTGATTCACAGCATGTACTGTAATTTTAAAACTTCAGCAACATAAATCGAATAAGTGAACAAAGACTACAATTCCCATGTGCCACACATGCAAATCACATGAAGTTATATTCATACTGAAGATATGCTGAAACAGTGTAGGGTTTTAAAACCACTACAGTAAAGTATGTGTGAAATCTATTTTTCATAATCAATATCTAAAGCAAAATTGTTTTCTAATTACTCGTTGGTGAAATTAGTATTAAGACAAAATAAGTTATTTTAATGCAGATGTAAAATTGGAAAAAAAGTACATTGCATTCACAACCAGCTATAATAACTATTTATATATATATCTATCCAGCTGAGTAATTTAGCTTTGTACAACAGCCCTACTTTCATTTCGAAAAATAAAACTGGTGCATTGACTAGAAATCAAACCTTTGACTTTCTGAGCAGCAGGCAAGCATTTTAACCACTGTACCAAAGCATCACTGTGCAGTGCCCTACATTCCAAACTATGAGCATTTCATTGTCCATTGCAACATCTATGACTGCAAAATACAGGAATGTGTAAAAATATTTTTAAAAGAACAAGTGAACAAGCTAATGAAATCAATGCAGATGTTTACAAGAAAGTGGACTACAATTCCACTACTAGCTATATAAATATATTATGTTTATATCCAAAATTTAGCATTAAACATTTGTAGTTTTTATTTTATTTTTCCAATATGAATATAAATTATATTCACATAATCTTACTAATTATTTATTAGTAACGAATTATTATTCCCTAGTTGTTCAAGACATAAATTAAATGTCCATCATTATTTTGTATGGTTTTAAACATTTCAGATTTCTTACTAATGCAAAGTAATAAAAAGTCAGCTTTGTGTTCACAACTTTTCTACAGTGTTGCTTCAATAGACATGCGGTATCTTTAGGCATTGCAATAACTAAAGAAATTAGATCAGATTTAATCAGGACAGTTAAAACTTGACCTCTCTGGCATGAATTTTGCAAGATCAAGCTCTTTTTTGTCTTTATACATCAAATTATCATTGCATTACTATTTTGCCTTTCCAAACTGTTTTCTTTACATAAAATGGACCTCACCATTGTCCTGCTTTAAAAGTGAAGTCTTTATCAGGTATAGCCAGGCGAAGTCTTTTGACGTTATTTGATTCATTTAAAATTCCACAGACCTTTGCAGGATAGAGAACCTAGAAAACACAGTCAATATTTACAAAGTAAGGCAAATATATTAGTCATTAGAATGCTTTCCTTTATACCCACACTATTATAACAGAAAGCAAATATTTCCAAGCTACAAACACCAACAAAGACTACAGCCCTCTAAAGGGTAGAAATATGCCTACCTCTACCCAGTCATGACTAATAAGATACATGGCTTCCATTTTCTGTCAGCGACATTCTTACCTTTAGTGTAAAATAGTATAAAAATAACAGCACATACAGTATGAACTGATTTGTGACCTGCACTCACAGTTCTTTGATCTTTGCAGGATTTCATTCAAATTTAGAATTTACAATTAGCAAATGCACATCATATTCTAATCTCTTTCCTAACAAACAGAGCAGGATTTTACCTTAAAGCTAAAATGCATTGAAATCTTTATTTGAATGTTTAAATCATATGATATCTCTTTCCTAAGGTTAAGCATAAAATGCTAGACTCTTCTAATTACAAAACCAACAATGCAATCTACAGTACCTTTTACTTAACTTCAAGTAGATCAAGTAATTTATATTACATTCATGCTGACATTTGAGTTATGCATCTGCCATATCAAGGAAACATACAGATTTGAAATATACGTATATGTGTATTTATAGAGTATATACCAGTATATACAGTACACAGTGTGCATAGAATATATATTATATATCATTTCATAGTGGCCAAAAGTTTAAATTGAAATGCAAGGTAAATGTTAACTTTACATAGAATAGGACTAGCCATTCATTCTAGAACAACACATAAAATCATGTTTTGAGTCTTTCAGTTAGTAGTCTCTAGAAACCAAAACAATGGTGTGTTTATTAATACCCTACTCCCCATCCTTCATTAGTTAAATTGTAAATTGTAAAAAAAAAACCCTGATAAACTTCTCTTTCATATGAAATATAATATATGCACTTTCTGTTTCAAAATAAACTTTTGTTTCAAGCATAGGGCTCTTATTAACTTTGCACATATTTACATTTAAAACTTAAACACCCAAACTGAACTATTTTAACAATGGTCACATTTCCATTTTTAATTGAAAGATGGAAATGTGTATAAATATAATCACTTTAATTTTCAAAGCAGAGAGGGGAAGCTGGGTGAAAAAAACTACATCTAAGATTCTACATCTGTCTTTTGTGTTTTAAATCTCAAATGTAGCTGACCTAAGGAATTTAAACAACAGTTTACTATGATATAAAACACAAAAAACAAAAAGGCTGAAATTATTTGAAGAGGATTTTCAGTTTTGCGAACATCTGACAAGGACAAAGAATTTCTTTAAGCACGAGTGGAAATTTCATCATCATTAAGTTACAGAATTACCCTTTTCTGGCTTTTAAGTTAACTCCAACTCACCTCTTGCCGATAGTTATTAGCAGTTCTTTCGAGGTGATCTGTTTTTCTTCTTGATGACATTTTTCTAAAAGGCAAAGGTAAATATATAAAAATCCATATACTTCTCTTTTTACATTTAAAGCACAAGGATCTACATCCATCCATCCATTTGCTCACCAGTTTGTTTCGAATACAGGGTTGTAGGGGACCCTTGCCAGAGGCTATTCCAGCATGCAAAGGGGTGAACACGGTACACCCTGGGGTTTTAGCACTACATTTTAAGTGCTGCCTGTTTTTTTAAATATAATGCTGTTTAAAACCCAAGTCCCTTCTACAATTTTTGGAATGCTAATATTAAATAAATGTCAAAATGTCTTACACGTCTCATTTTAGTTTACATTACTTTACTAAAATTGTTTTTTGGCAATGTATATAGTACTGTATCATTTTATGTACACTCTTTAATTCAAACAAAGTCAAATCATGATGCACTGTTCATTACATGTACTTTTAAAGATATTTTACCTTAAAAGACTTTGCCTGTTATTATGGGGAAAGTCTAGTATTTCTGATTTTACAGATAAAATTCCCTTTTAGCAGGTTTTGTCCCCTAAAGTGAGGGCTTACTATAGTATTGTTACCAGTAAAAATATAATTTTTAGAAACAATTTTCCTATTAATAATAACTAATTTAAAACACCTATTTATAACTTTAATTCTTGATTAATAAATAAAAATCCATCCACTGTTATGCTAGTGGAGTTAATGTATCTAAAAAACAACACAGATTACAATGTTAATTTAGAAGCAAAAGAAAATAATGGCTGGATCTTAATGAGTGGACTTCTTACCTGGTTGTCATCTTGGAACAGTCAGCTTCTCACCAGATATTTGCACAAGAAATCAAAATCAGAAGCTTAATGTGTTTTTTGTACAACACTGTACAAAGCTACAAAAGTGACCTTTTTGTGCGAGTGAGGTAAAACTACAAAGTGATGGGGAATCACCAGATAGGTGGAACAAGGCAAGTTCTTTTCTAGAGCAAACTCACCTATTGATCACGCAGGCACATAATGGCCTGGGCCTGAGCAGTGCTGATGCGACCTGCAGTGTGAAGGTTCCAGCAGCTCTCCCCAGTAAACAATTAACAGACACAGCAGCACAAGCCATGGCATTCACTGGGCAACCAGCACTCTCTGCATCATCCATAAGACAGATAGCATGAAGGGGAAGAAAAGACAGACTTTACCGATGGATTTTAAGGAATATAACATTTTTGTGGTATTACTGTTCCATATAAATTGTACAACATTTCCCAACTGACAAAAGCATAGAATCATTTCTCTCTCTTTAAACTCTTTGCTCACAGCTCCAAACTCCAGTTTGTTTCAGGCTGAGTGACAAATAAAGGATTGAGACAGGAGTTACACAATGAACTTCAACCTCCTTTCCTGTAAAAGCAATATGTGCCACTGGGCATTTAACCATCAAAACACCCACAGGTCTCCCCCAATCTTTCCAGGATGTTACTTTAAACATCATGCAGAGAAAGACACAGCATATTACAAATGCTCAACTGAGTGCAACAGCGCTAACCAGACTAGCATGACTTTCTGTTGTAATAACTGACTTTATGATTATAAGAATTCTAGGGCAAATAGGCAACAAGTCAAGTAATTTATATCATGCAACAGAAAATGCACATATGCACTTAAGATCAAACGAGTTTCTGCAACCAGCTTATATTGCGCCAGTTTTTTATTAAATGTATTTTCATCAAAGTTGTTATATGAAAATGCTTTCAGGAAAATATTTTGAAAGAAAACTAAACAATAAAAGAATGCTTAATTTTTTCATTTTAAAACAAATCTTGTAAAGACAGGGAAACTAGTTTAACGGCAATTATGGCAAGCTGTATCTAGCATAAACTAGAAAGTTCTTTATAAATACACCTTATACCAATGGTTAAACTCATATCTGCAATAACACCTACCTATATACTATTTTCATCCACTTTCAGATGATGTTCATGCCGGCTAGTTAAATAACCTTCCACCAGCACATGACTCTCTACTGTCCAAGCTAAAGGACTTTTATTTTGATGGAAATTCGGCTATTTACATACACTTCCGGATCAGTCGCGTCGCTTAATGTGGCCTTCACGCTGAGGAGGTAAATGTAAATATCTTTATGACCTGGAAGTGTTTGTGTTTTGCTTGTCAAAACGAGAACTATGCGAATTTGGTTTCAGGATATTCTTAGTATACTTTATGTTTACAGCTATAGGGCGAGGGTCTATGGGAAATTAATAAAGTTGCTCTTTAATTTCTCGGTTTACTGGTTTAAAGCGTTAATGTAAATCAGCTATTTACCCGATGCGCTTCCTACTCCGACAAAGTAGGTGGCAGCAAAACGTTTGAAATGGTCTTACATTAAGAAAAAAAAATCACAAAGGAAAGACTGCTTTCTTTCCAATGAATATGATGCTTGTGGTTAAGCTGTTTTGTCTCTCTGAATTTAATAACCTTTTTTATACGACTTGCCTGAATTAGAGATAAGGAATTGGTTTTAACAACTGAAAGTAGGTTATTCAAAGGTATGAATATAACGATTTCTTCTCAAATTAAGTTATCGCACGGTACGTTTAGTTTGAAAAATGATGTACCGAGCCTCTTTCAAACCAGTTCTAAACTTTAACATACAGTAGATGTCAAAAGCTTACAGATAATATGAATTTGTTAATATTAGTCTTAACTTTATTTCGAATACTTTGACATGCAAAACGCACTGATCTCTTTAATCCTGTGAAGCTAGGTGGTTCATTTGCAACTACGCAACTAGGTATGAAATGAACGTAGCGCGTATCTTTGCTAGACAACTGATAGTCAGCTGTTGTAACGTTTGTCCTGTCAGTTCTCTAAGATGAGTGCTGAAGCGGCGGATCGGGAGGCAGTAACCTGCAGTCGACCGTGTACTCCGCCGCAGACCACCTGGTTCGAGTTCCTCTTGGACGAGGCCTTGCTGGAGAAACACTTACAGAAACCCTCACCAGGTGAGCACAAAGTCATTAGTCCGGAGATGCTAGTAAATGCCCAGATCCATTCTGGAGAAAAATGATGCGCCATTTAAAGTTTTAGAGGTCTGGGACATAGCTGTATTTATGGGTTTAAATCATGCTTCTTTAAAGAAAGGTGCTTTTTATGTCGTTCTTTAATAGTAAAACGCAAGCTGCTGTTTTTTGCAGACAAGGAAACACAAATCGGTAAACTGCTTAATAAGCGTTAGGAGACCTACACGAGAAACTCTAAAATACAGCTTTTCATTTATGCGAGAACTTCTTAGTAGCAGTTAGGAAAGTTTGTATACAAACAGCCATTTCTGCTTGCTTGTTATGAAGCTCAGTATAGAAAAAAAAATTATAAGAAACAAAGGAAGAATTTCTTCCTTTATTCCATGCTGAAAGGAGAAGAAAGACAACACAATAATTCGGCTGTCAAACATTCAGAGTAAACCTATTGTTCTTTGCAGCCTAGGCATTCTGACGCAGCTACCCACCTGAACTACTTCATAAGAAACATGTTTATGCATGCATGTTTTTATAAGAATAAAGTATGTAACTGGCAACCCACTGAAGCTAAGCAGGTGTGAGCCTGGTCAGTACCTGGATGAGAGACCTCCTGGGAAAAACGTAAGGTTGCTGCTGGAAGAGGTGTTAGTGGGGCCAGCAGGGGGCGATCACCCTGCGGTCCATGTGGGCCCTAATGCCCCAGTATAGTGACGGGGACACTATACTGTAAGCAGGCGCTGTCCTTCGGATGAGACGTAAAACTGAGGTCCTGACTCTCTGTGGTCATTAAAAATCCCAGGGCGTTACTCGAAAAGAGTAGGGATGTAACTCTGGTGTCCTGGCCAAATTTCCCATTGGCCCTTACCGATCATGGCCTTCCTAATAATCCCCATCTATGAATTGGCTTCATTACTCTGCTCTCCTCCCCACTGATCATCCAGGTTGATGCTGCACATTGGTGGT